CCATAACCTTTCCCTGGACCACTTGGTGCCTGGAGGTGGAGCCACATCTGCAACATGCCCACAGCCTCCATGGAGCAGGGGGCACTGGCCTTCTTCTCTACGCTTCCAAGAGGGCTGTTTAGACAACTCATCTCAGGTCTAGCTGACTGTTCTGACCTCCCTGTTGGGGTATTTAATCATCTTGGCTCACTGTTTTCAGGCTGGATAGTAGATGGTGGTGGCCAGAAGGTTCCAGTGAGCCACCAGGATAAAATAAAGATGCTTCCATTCTTGCTCTGTTTGTTGGATATCTGCACTGTAATAAAATCTCCAAGTAATCTGGGACTCCATTTTACCCCCAAGTGTCATGTCAACCTGCAGAAGGCCTAATTATCTGAGCTCATAAGATGGGAATGGGAAGCAACAGAGAGGGGAAGAGCTTTGGAATCAAGCTATGTGGGTTTGTGGTCTGAATGTCCTGCCTACTGACTGTGTAACAGTAGAAAAGTCCCTATTGTCTCAGAGCTTCAGTCTCCTCAGTGGTGAAGTGGAAATATTAATCCCTCTGTCACAGGAGTAGATGAGCTAATTTGTACAAAGTACCTCACATGAGAGTCATCAACCATCCTCTCCTCACCATTACAGAGTAGGATGAGTAGAATTACAGAACAGGACAATGAAGGCAGCGTAGAAATTGTTTGCTCCTTGTCTGTGAACTGATGTTGTCTAGGGTCTAGCCCAGGGTTTGACACATAAGAGGGACCCTGGAAATGGGGCCTTTACAAGGAAGGGACTTGCTGAAGTCATCACAAAGCACTGGTTACATCCTTGGGACCAGATTCAAGCTCTCCTTACTCCTATGCTCTGTTTACAAGGAAAAGCATGTGCCCCCAAGGATATTGAATACAGAACCTAAACCCAACCACACACTGCAGGAGAACATGGACAGACCTCTTTCTGCTGGCCATTTCTAAGTTTATCAGACTAAAGACGATGGCCAGTTAAAACAAGACCATTATTTTTGTAGCCATCTAACTCTCCACATTCCCTTTTACACTCAGGCACAACAGCCTTCTTCTAAGTGGCCTTCTTAGAGCTAAGAAGAAGAAGGGGTGAGGAGTTAGTTTTGGTCATATTATTGGTGGAAAGTAGGCTGCACTAGGGACAATCCAAATGGGGACACTTGATATAGTTCTCCATATACTTGATGGACATTTTTTTGCAGGTCACTGGATTTCTCAGACTTTAGTGTCCTCATCCATTAAGATAGAGAATAGTTGGGAAGCTCAGAAGAAATACCCACTATGCCAATTCACTGTAACCTATAGAGTGAACCATTTATTGTCATTAAATGATGAGGCACAGAAAATGAGCAATAAGTAGTATCCCCTTCCTTCTCCAACTGTCTGTATAATGTCCTCAGCTACTCCATTTTGTCTGGAACTGCTTTGTGAACAGAATAAGTGGCTGCTCAGAGCTGGGAAAGTTTTGCACTTACAGTGAGGTGTTGACTGAAAAAAAGATGATGTGTGATGTGCATCCTGGTTCCAATTCCATGCAAGCTCTGGAGCACTCCCATCAAAAGCATTAATAATTTGGAGATTCTCCCACTAGTATTCAATCAACCCATTGATCTAGGGAGGAATGGATATCTTAATTTCAAAGGGAAAGACCAAACATTCCCCTTCTGCCTCATGTTAAAACTGCACATACTAACTATAGATTGGATGCCTTTTTAACCTTGGGTGGATACCCAAATATTTGGTGACTTTGGCTAAATTGTTTAATCTCTCTGAGTCTCAGTTCCTAGAGATACCATGTTTCCCCGAAAGTAAAACATTCTCCGAAAATAAGACCTACTTACAGGTTTCCTTCTGAGTGAAATATAAGTCATCCCCCCGAAAATAAGGCTTCCCCCTAGGCTCTGTCTCAGAATGCTATTGCTAAACATGAGAGATTAGGTCCACTGATTCTGAAAGAAATGGAGTCACAAGAAATTCACCAGGAAATTCAGGAATTGAATTGTTATGATGATGTTCCAGAAGATGATGACATGATTGTCATTGAAAAATGAGTAAATTCTTGATATTGTAGGATTCAGTTTGGTTTGTGTTGACAACTACCGTACTACCGTACCATATACAGGTAATAAATTTCCTTTATTTTCATTTAACAATAAATGTGTACCGTATTCTTCTTCATAGAAAAATAAGACATACCCTGAAAATAAGACCTAGTGCATCTTTGGGAGCAAAAAATTAATATAAGACACTCTTATTTTCGGGGAAACAGGGTATCCTCTTCATCCCAGGATTATTCTAAAGATTACAGGAGATAATGCCCACCAAATGCTTAGCAAGTTCCTGACACCTAGTCAATGCTCAATTAAATGTGATTATTCTTCTTCCTGGTTCACCTGATCTTTGTCAAGGACAAATTATGGGCAAAGCCCCATAGATAGTTAGGGGCAGAAGCAAGACTAGAATTCGGGTGTCTTGAACCCTGGTCTTAGGCCACAAACAATCATCACATCAGATGGATGTTTTCCTGTAAGTGGTCTGTCAATTATTCACATGGAAATCCCAGGGTTGTTTACAGGAATTCTCCTTTGGGACTGGGAATTTTATTTACAGACCTAGATCTGAAACATGGTTGTTTTTATTGTTGTTAGTTTGGATTTTGGAAAGGACAAGAGAACCAGGTAAGCTGAATGTCTAAATCAGATTTTCATATTGAGTATGATTACAGGATGGGGGATGTGCTTTCACATGGACACAGTTACCTGGATCTGGGGTACAGGGACATTAGGAAGCATCAGAGGGAGAGCAAGAAATATAAACACCTGAGATCCAGTTCAGGTCATACCCTAGAAGTGCAAAACAAGCTCCTGCAAAAAACCTCTTGCTGCTGATCATTCTGGGCCCTGCAATAACTTGTTTGGACAGCAGGTTTCATGGTGAGGTGACAGGCCCTTCTGCTTTTAATCCATCCATTTATGTCCCTCAGTCAGCAAACACCTGGACTGCTGATTTTCTCAGCACGTGAGGTTGCAGGGATTGACCAGCCACGAACATTCAGCTGCGCTCAAACCAAGAGCTGCCCTGGTTGCCAGTGGAGGGTATTAGCAGCTCCTGACTTGGGCAGACTCCATATATACTTCTCAGGCTGGGCCAATGGAGTGGGTATCCTCACTGCCATCTTGTCAGAGACCATATGCATCTTCCAAGAAGACAAATATTTTTGTTTTGTTTTGTTTTTAATGTGAAGAGGACTCATATAAGAACAGTGGCTTTTGTAGAGTGAGACATATTTTTAATCCCCTCAACTGGGGCAAATCCTGGGTTTTCTAATAGCTTGGACTATAAGAAACAGGCCATGCAGAGCCAAGGGCAGAAAATAAGATATGCCACAAGAAGAGGAAGAAGGGCTGATTTTGATCAAGCACAATGTGTGACTCTAAAGTAACACGGTGAACTTTGGGCAAGGCTTAAAAAGGGCTCTAAAGGTTATATACAAAGAAAAGTCATGCCCGGAAATGGCATGAGCAATGGTAGTGTCTTTAGAGTGAGGGCACAGATGGCCACTCCAAAGACCCATCTAAGTAAAACTCTTCTGACATGGAGGTTTAAACTGATCAAAACCAAAGAAGTTACTTACTAGTCATACTTTTTAAAAGGGTATTGGTAGGGTTCTTGAGGAGAAGGGAAAGAGAACCCTTGAAACCACAATTTACCCACCCTTTCCTCCAAGGAATGAAAACAAGAGTGACACAAAGGAGAAATTGAAAGTCATGCCGAAACTAATCATAAGCTCTAGATGCATTACCGAGAGTTTGTTGATTATAAAAGATAAATAACAAAACAGTAATTGGGATGGAGGTTAAAGATTGCCTTCTAGAAATTCCCAGGCAGAAGGGATGGCAATTTGGAGGACAGACCACTGGCCAATTAATTGCTCTATCTCTGCCATCTCCTCTGTCTACCATCTCTGTGAGAGCTAGAACTGCAGCAAAGTTTTGTAAATGTCTATATACCCAACTTGGTACCACATTCTCAATACCTTGCTTGTGGAAGACAATGAGGAAAAAAGAAAAGCAAAACTTCAACAATATGCTCTCAACCCTGTGCACATATGAGAATCCTAGACTAAATAGAAAGCCAATTTACTGAAAGTGGACTGCCCTTGGGATTGGAAAAGCCAGGCCCTCTAGTTATACGAAATGACATTATCTCAGAACTCTGAGCTCCTAGTTCTCTGAACAGGAAGGAAGCAGACCCACGGCTCTATAAGAGCCATTTCCTCTCTGCTCTATTAATTTCAGAGATTAGGTCTGTAGACCTAAAACACTGAGATAACAACCATTGTGTTTGCTGCAACTCCTACTAACTGAGCCAATCTTGGTAGTTTGGCGATGATGCAGGCTTTTATTGTCAAATTCAGCTAACCAATGGCTTTCATGGGCCCTTCTGTCATTCTGGATCCTAGATATACTGCTGGAAACCCTAACCCTGATTTTCCAACACATGGATGATGTCTGGATTCCAAGCGAGGAAAGAAGAAACTTGTCAAATGAGTTTTTAAAAGGACATACTAGTAAAGGACAAAGAATTTAATAGAAATATCTTCCTATACCCTACTTACTGGCTTCCTGTTTTCAGTGATATTAGGAAGCTAATGCAATACATCTAGTGCCTGTCATTCCTACACTCCCGATTTCTATGAAAATAAAGAGTAGGCATTTCTTCCCTCTCATCCTTCCTCTCTTTCCATTTCAAGGGGTGCTTTGCAGAGATCACTGGACTGGGAGTCCAGAATGAAGCATTGGACTGTATGTCCTGTTCTTCCAGAAACTCACAAGCTCATCTCTTAGATCTCTTCTATGTCAGATTCCAGCTCCTTGCATTTTAAGTTGGTTCCCTGCCATCAATTTGTACATAAAATTTCAATAATATATCTTACATTCAAGTTTAAGATTAGAAGCATTCAACAATCCCCCACCCCCCAATAGCCCATTGTCTGACCGATTCCTGGAGCTTTCTGGGCTCCTGACGATTTCCCACCATGCCGATATGGGGAAGCATGCTCTTGATTACAAGCCGAGTTTTCCAGTCATCCATTGTTTGACCTGCAATTTTATTCTTGACTCTCCAAGGTGCTTTCCCAAACGACCTAGACACAGGGCTTAGGAGACAAAAAGTACACTGTCTTTCAGATATGAAGATGAGACCAATGACCCCGTGAATCACAGTCTTTCACTCTGAGGGACAGGTTTGGGTGAAGTCAGCCACATTCTTTTTCCTGTCTCTCTCCCCATCCCACCAATCTTATGAGCCCCTCCCTCTTCCACAGATGAGGGGCACTTCTGTGAGGCAGTTGGTTGGGATGACCATGGAGCAGAACAAAGTTCACTAGAGAGCTAAGGGATGGCTGGAGAAGCAGCCTGATTTTACTAAAATAACACTGGGCTAATGGCAGGAGATGTGGGTCCTAGGTCTGGCTTTACTTTTGTGTGATATGCTTTGAGGTCTGTGGAATGGTTCTTCTGTTCTTGACACAGCTTTCTTATATGGAAACCCTGTTGGTTAAGACCAGGTGATGGTTTACAGCTGGTCCCTTCAGCTCCACAAGAGCAAGCCATATGGCCTATATAGAAGTAGCAGTTCCTACTCTGTACATGTTAACATGCAGCTAAATGAGTTAACAGTTCAAATCCTGACAGTCAGTGAAAGGAAGCAATGGCTGTTGGAATGGGCTCATGAAACCTCACTGCACTGCTTAAAAAAAACAAAACAAAACAAAACAAAACAAAACACTATATGAGCAGGCTGTGATCGTGGCCACCCCAATGTATACCTTCCATAACAGATGAGCAGACATGCAGAGACTCAGGTAAAATTGTTCTTTACATTTTGTTTTGTTTCATTTGTTTTTCCTGATATAGAAATGAAATAAGAGCCCTCCTGAGGATTCATATATTAGGGAAATGCTCCTTCTCATTAAATTCCTTGGTAGTATAGAACCAGGTCCTAAAATTGCAATGTCTAGACTTCTAACTTCGAAAAAATGGAGAAGTACTTTTCCCATTTTCCCACTGAGTACAACTAAAACTTCTAGACATCTATATATATATATAAAAGCCTGATATGCAAATTGCCCCCTCAGGAGACCAGGAGTTCAATTGCTAGCTTTGACATGTGCTGACCACCAGGGGAATGAAGGTAGGCCCTGGCCAGCATCTGGAAAGCCCTGATTGGCTCTGGTCACCAGCCAGCTTAGGAACCCTACCTGTGCATGAGTTTCATGCACCAGACCTCTAGTTATATATAAAACACACTTAAGAAAGCATTATAAGGTGGTGATATAAAGGTAAACTGGATAGGAAACTTGGGACCTGAGGAATAACATAGTGGTGAGCTCCCTGAGTTTTCTTTTTACCTCAAAGACCCTAGACATGGACCTGAAGAAGCCACAACCCAAAATGCCAATGGGCACAGACAAAAAGGCCTCAGCAAAATCCTGTTCTCTTTAGACAAACTACTAGGAAAGGGGCAGCATGCCAAGACATACAATCCTAAATAATAAAAGAGTAATATGAAAATTAACCATCACTCTGCCACACCCACCAGTCATGCCCACCAGCCATGCCCACCAACCAATTAGAGCACGTATGAAATTAACCCCAACCAAGATGGCTGCGGCCACAGAGAGCAGGAGAGAGGATTGGGTTTCCCCGGCAATAGAGGAAGTCAAGCTTCTGCAGCCCTGGCCGGCCTAGGCCTCCACTCCAGGGTACAAAGTTTCAATTATAGAAGGTAAACATATCCAAACAGAAATAGCTGCAGCCATGGTGCGAGCAGGGGGCTTGGCTCTGCTCCAGGCTACAAAGTTTCAATTGTAGAAGCTAAATAAATCCCAGATATCAGGTCGCCAGGGGGGTGTGGCTTGCCTGTAAACCACCACAGGCCCCTCGCCAGGCCACCCCATGCCCCAAGGAAAAGCCCACCCTGATCTGGGACACCCTTCAGGGCAAACCAACTGGCCCTCACCCATGCACCAGGCATCTATATAAAAAAAAGAGTAATATGCAGATTGAACATCACTTCAACACACAAGATGGCTGCCCCCATGTGGTCAAAGATCCTGCCCCCATGTGGACACAAGATGGCCACCACAAGATGGCCAGCAGGGGAAGGCAGTTGTGGGTGATAAGGCAAACAGGGGAGAGCAGTTGGGAGGCATCAGGCCTGCAAAGGGAGGGCAGTTGAGAGGGACCAGGTCTCTGAGGGAGGGCAGTTGGAGGTGATCAACCTTACAGGGGAGAGCAGTTAGGGGTGACAAGGCCAGCGGAAGAGGGAAGTTAGGGGCAAACAGGCTGGCAGAGGAGCAGTTAGACATCAATCAGGCTGGCATGGAAGTGGTTAGGGGGTGATCAGGCTGGCAGGCAGAAGTGGTTAGGAGCAACAGAAAGGCAGGCAGGCAAGCAGTTGGGAGCCAGCAGTCTTGGATTGTGAGAGGGATGTCCGACTATCTGTTTAGACCTGATCCCATCTAAATGGGCAGTTGAACATCCCTTGAGGGGTCCCAGATTGGAGAGGGTGCAGGCTGGGCTGAGGGACACCCTACCTCAACCCTCTGCATGAATTTTGTGCACCGAGCCTCTATTTTTTATATAAGAATGGCTCTTACTCAACTAACCACCACAGAAAAAAGTGTGGCCCCCAAAATCCCATCAGCAAAAGTCAAGGGAGGCCTAGAATGCCGTCCCATCTAGCAGTAAAGACTCATCTCTCCCTGTCCTTACTAGGTTGATATCAGAGTAGTTGGTATCAGAGAATCAGGTAATGAGTCCACATCTCATCCCTGCCAATATCAGTGGAAATCACATGGGTAACAGTAATGAGAGTGTCCTACCCATTCCAGCCATGGTGGCATCAGTGGAAGCTTAGTGAGAACTGGAACTGTCACCACTGCTCAGCAGTAATGAGGAGTCCAAAACTACCTGGTGTCAATAAAGACTAAGTGAGAAATCTGAACTTCTATACTCACATGGAAGAAATGAGATGGTGGCCCCCTCCCTGTTGGAGCATTATAAATGAAAACAGAAGATCTAAATAAGTGCTGATGTAACAGAATTGTCAACTCAGAATTCTATACTAAATGAAAATAGGCTTTGGGTATGGAAGGAGAATCAAGACATTATCAGATAAATTAAAAATAAGAGGATTTGTTAACACCAGACCTCTCCAAAGAGAATGGCTAAATGAAGTTCTCTAAACAAAAAGGAAATCATTAAAAAAAAAAAATCTTGGACATCACCAAGGAGGAAAAAAAAAGGAAAAAGAAAAAAATATGAGTAAATATAGACTCTTTTTTCTCCTCTCAAGTTTTCTAAATTATCTTCAATTCTTGAAGTACCAACTATAACATTTCATGTTATGGTTCTAAATGCATGTTGAAAAATACATGTAACATAATCTATATATATAAAAGCCTAGAGGACTGAAGGACCAGAATGACCAGTTAACCAGTTCCTATGATGCACATTGACCACCAGGGGGCAGATGCTCAAAGCAGGAGCTGCCCCCTGGTGGTCACTGTAATCCCACAGCCAACCTTCCACAGCTTGCCAACATCCCCTGGTCCCTCCCCGCAGCCAGCCGGCCCTCCATCAGCCTGATGGGGGGGCTGGCCTGCCAACCTCCCACAGCCCCTCCCATCAGCTGGCTGGCCCCAATTGGCCCTGATCGCTGGCCAGGTCGAGAGACACCACCTGTGCACAAATTTGTACACTGGTGTCCAGTTACATTAAATAAAGAGGAGGTTGAAGGTTAGGAATATAGGAAAGACTTCTATTTATCACTGGAACTGGTAATATGTTAATACCAGTAGACTGTCATAAAGTTATGTATAGATGTAATACCTACAGCAACGACTAAAAATGGTGTACTAAAACATTAATGCAAAAACACTATACATGAATCCTCAAATGTATTCTAAAAAATGTTCATGCAACCCATACAAAGTCAGAAAAAAGAAAATAGAGAAAACAAAAACAGAGAATAAACAGAAAATAAAAATAAATTGGCAGAATTAAGCACTAACATAAATATGTACATTAAATGAAAATCATCTATTAAAACACAGAGATTGACAGAATGGATAAGAGAAAATGACTCAATTATATGCTCTTTACAAGCTGCTCACCTTGAATATAATGATATGGGCAGGTTGAAATAAAAGGATGGAAAAGAAAACATTATAAAAATGTAAATAAAAATAGCAGATAAACGTCAGAGCAAAGAAAATTACCAGGGAAAGAGTGGCATTGCATAATGATAAAAAAAGGTGTATTTTTTTTTATCAAGATGGCACAATAATCCTAAATATGCATGCACCAACAAAAGAGCTACATGATATATGAAAAAAGAGAAAAATTGAAATAAAAAATGTAAAAATTCACATTTTTGGTGGAGACATTAATATCTACTCTCAATAATCAATAGAACAATTAGACAGAAAATTAGCAAATATAGAAAAACTCAAAAATGCCATCATCTACTAGGATCTAATTGACATTTATAGAACAATTCACACCAAAAGAAACAGTAAAAATGCCATTGTTTTCAAGTACCCAAGGAATATATACAAAGATAGGTTTATTCTAGACTATAAATAATACACAATGTTTTTAAAGAGTTGAAATAATATATGGTGTTTTCTTTGATTATAATGGAATCAAATTAGAAAATAATATCAGAAAGACAACAGGAAAATCTCCAAACACTTGAAAAGTCAACACACTTTTTAAAAATTCATAAGTTAAAGAGACTTCAAGATAACCCTATATAGTAAAGCTGTAATATGCAAACTGACCATCACTTCAACACACAAGATGGCCACCCCCATGTAGTCAAAGATGGCCGCCCCCATGTAGTCAAAGATGGCCGTCCCCATGTGGACACAAGATGGCTAACACAAGATGGCCGGCAGGGGAAGGCAGTTGTGGGTGATCAGGCCAGCAGGGGAGGGCAATTGCAGGGGACCAGGCCTGCAGGGCAGGGAAGTTAGGCTGACAAGGGAGGGAAGTTTGGGGTGATGGGGCCAGTAGGGGAGGGCA